CTAAGATGCTTGGTATATGGTCTGATAAACACTGGTCCAAGGCATTGCACCCTCCCAGGGCCAGGCTGTGGCTCAGTGACTGTGTGAAGCAGAAATTCTCTGCAGTCTATGAAGTTGGCAAAACTACATCTTCAGATCCAAAAGATGAAGTCTTTGTTCTGGTTGTGGCTACATCCTCAGTGTCTAACCCAGTGCTGGCACATAGTAGGACCAACAGCAGATGTTGGATAAATGAGACATTACCCCTGCTTTCTAGATGAGGAAACTGAGGGTCCAACAGGTCAAGTGACTTGCTCAAGGCCACATAGCTGGGCTTCATAGTCTGAGTAGGGATGGAAACCCCAATTTTTTCTCTTTGTCATCACCCTCCCCCATACACAGGGGAATTGGCTTTTACCTTTCAGGCTCAGGAAGGGCAGAATCCCAGGGGTCCACCCAGCTAGGACCGTGGTGGGGTAGAGGAGCTCCTAGCAGGCCGGGCAAGGCCCAACAAAGGCAGTTGTTCCAGATTCAGCTGAAGGGCAGGGCTAAGGGGTGGGGGCTGGGTGGCGGGGGTAGGGTTGGAGGGAACAAGCAGTTGGGTGTAGACAGGGCTCCCTGCACGGACAAAGCTTGGGGAAGCTAGTTTTCATGTGCCCTAGGGGAAAGTGGCCAAACCTCTTCTGGCTGGAAGTTGGGCCCTTGGCGAACTCCATCTTGGCTGGATCCCTGCCCCAGCACCACACCTCCTCACTCCCTCACCCCCAGCAGGTCCCCAAAGGCTGAAAGCTATTCTTGGCTTTTTCTAAAAGAGGCATTTGAAGCCATGAGCCAATTTTTTCCATTCCTGAGCTTGGGTATCATCTATTTCGGGCGTTTGTTGTTTTCCATGAGTTGCAATGCCACTGTGAAGCGGCCTTTCCTGGACAGCTAGCGCGAGGGAGCAAGGCGGGGCCAGCCAGCGGTTAAAAATACTTCCCGCTTCATTTCGCCTTTGAAAACAAAGCCCTGGGGGCCTTGGGCAACTGCTGAGCCTGGGAACAGAGCTTCCCAGGGCAAAAACTGGCTGTGTGTCGTTTCCTGAGTGAGCTGGACAGGCTCGTGTGGGTCTCAGAAGAAGCAACACTGACTTGCTGTGTGACCTTGTGCAACACACTTAACATCTCTGGGCCTAGTGGCCTCCTTTCTAAAATGAGGCCAGGTGGACAGCTCTTGAATGGTCTCTCCAGCTCTGTGAGCTCCTGGAGGAGAACCACCCCCAGGGCCAGATTTTCTTCCTAGAACTGGGCCAGCAAGGGTTGCTGGGACATGGAGGTTGCAGTTCAGAGAAGGCAGCTTTTAGCTTTAGCTCAGTCTCTGGGAACACTTTGTGAGCTTCTAAGCCCTGAAAGTGTTCTAAGGTGGTCCTGAATGTTCTCAGAGGACTCATGTAATCGAAAAAAGATGAAAGGCCATTAAAGAGGGAGTTATTTAAAGATACTGTGGTAGAGCCACACCAAGACACGCAGCGCCAGAGTTATGAGACAAGCAGATCTGTGTTCTGACATGGCGAGATCTCCAAAACCTGTCGTTGACAAAAAAGCAAGAATGGAGCAATTAGAAATGTATTATTCGGGGCACCTGGGTGGCTCAGTGGGTTAAGCAACTGACTGTTGGCTTCGGCTCAGGTCATGACGCTACAGTCCTGGGACCTTGGGAAGGAGCTCCGAATCAAGCTCTGTGGGTCGTGGAGCTTGCTTGTTTCTCTCACTCTCCCTTTCCTTCTACCTCTCGCCTGCTCACAAGCTCTCTCCCTCTCTCTCTCTCTCTCTTGCAAAAAAAAAAAAAAAAAAAAGAATTGTATTATTTGTTTAAAACATGCATAAAACAAAGCTAAATACTTTTTTGCACCCTTGATACATATATTTATGAACATGCATAGGGCAAGTTCTGGAAGATTTTACCCAATCTAATAATAGTCCTTATCTCTGGGGCAAGGAGGGCACTGAATTTGGAGTGGTGTCAGACAGTGCCGATTTGTTTGTAATGTTTTACAGAAAGAATGCATTTATTAGTGGGGTTTACTTGTTTGCTTGTTTGTTTCTATTGAGATCCATTGAAAGACACCAAGACAGGGGCGCCTGGGTGGCTTAGTCGGTTAGGCGTCCGACTTTCGCTTAGGTCATGATCTCGCGGTTCGTGGGTTCGAGCCCCGCGTCGGGCTCTGTGCTGACTGCCAGCTCAGAGCCTGGAGCCTGTTTCAGTCTGTGACTCCCTCTCTCTCTGACCCTCCCCTGCTCACGCTGTCTCTCTCTCTCTCTCCTAGAAATAAATAAAACATAAAAAAAAAAAAAAAAGACACCAAGACATTGAAGAGCTAGGCAACTCCTCTCAGGCTGTCCTGGACTGGGACCCCATGGACCGAGGGTGCAGGAGGGGTACAGTGGCTGTGGGCAAGAGGTGGAGGTGTGAGATGGAGGCTTGAGCAATGGAAGTGTTTATGCTTTTAGGGAGGCAAATGGAGATGTTGTTCCTGTCCAAGCTTTATTGGCCATTGTAAATTACATTCTATTGCAAACAGTTGCCTCAGGAGGTAATTACATTTAGATCATATTGTTCTCAGGTTGGCACAGGCAGGTGTTGACTTGCTGAGGCTTTGCACAACAGCCACTGTCTGTAAGTGTGGTTGGCTGCCTGGATGGAAGAATTACCCTATTCCCTGGTGGAATGAGCTGCTGCTTTGTAAGGTAGTGAGTTCTTTGTCAGAGGGGGTATGCAATCCAGGAGAGAGGATCTAGCCCAGACGGTGACCCTGCGGGGAACATCCAGGTTTCTGTCCGGAACCTCAGGCAATCAATCCTGATAAAATGGGTGAACAGGGGACTAGAAAGGCCATTAAACTTCCTGATGGCATCCCACTGCAGTGTCGGCCACCACAGCCTCAGCTGTCCTGGAGAGTTTGTGAACTGGTAAGTGGGGCACACCATTACAATCACCATGAATGAGGGTTCTGGGCAGTCACTAAATACTGTCGATGATGTGTCTATTACCGAGTCTACAGGCGCTGGTTCTTACTAAACGAGCCATTTTGAGGGAGACAAGGGAGCTCACAGTGTTGTCTGCTCTGGACTGAGCCTATGGGAGATCTTCCATCCCAGGGCCACCAACCTGCAGCCCTGGTCCATTTGTTTAGGTGGGCAGTAATGAATACAAAAAAGTTTGGTGGGTGACTGGGTAGGAGGGCTCCTCAACCACCTGTATTTCAAGTCGGCACCTCACTCCTGGATTCCAAAACTCCGTTGAAGCTACTGGTGAGCATCTTGCTGGCCCACTACTTCCTCACCAGCGCTGTGTCTTCCCCTCACGCTCCCTCCTCCTCAGGCTGTTGTCCCTGATTCTGTAAATGGCACTGCTGAGAAGTGGTGGAGGTGACTGGTTAAGGAGGCTTGTCCTGGAGCCCCAATGCCTGGGTTTTCGCTCAGGCTCTGCCATTGGCCAGTTGTATCACTTGAGGCAAGTAACCTCTGAGAGCCTCAGTTTTACCTTATAAAATGGGAACAGTGTGGGGCGCCTGGGTGGCTCAGTTGGTTAAGCAGCCGAATTTGGCTCAGGTCATGATCTCACAGTTCGTGGGTTCGGGCCCCGCGTCGGGCTCTGTGCTGACAGCTAGCTCAGAGCCTGGAGCCTGCTTCAGATTCTGTGTCTCCCTCTCTCTCTGACCCTCCCCTGCTCATGCTGTCTCTCTCCCTCTCTCAGAAATAAATAAAACGTTAAAAAAAATAAAATTGGGACAATGATTTGATGGGAAATATCTAGAGTTGTACTAAAATAATCAATAGAAAAAAACTGAGTGCCTACTGTGCGTTAGGAACAGGGTTCAAGTCCTAGCTAGCCATATGTTGAAACCTTAGCCTCTTCTTTCAAATTGTGGTAAAACATACATAATATAAAATTTACCATTGTAACCAATTTGAAGTGTACATTTCAGTTGCATTAAGTTCATTCAGGTTGTTGTGCATAGATCACCCCATCCATTGCTACTTTTCCATCTTGCAAAATGAAAACTCTGTACTTATTAAACACCAACTCCCCATTCCTCCCTTCCCCCAGCCCTTGGCAACCACCATTCTACTATTTGTCTCTATGAATTGGACTCTAAGTACCTCATATAAGTGGAATATACAGTATTTGTCCTTATGTGACTGGCATATTTCACTGAGCATAATGTCCTCGAGGTTCATCCATGTAGCGTGTGTCAGAATTTCCTTCCTTTTCAAGGCTGAATGATACTCCATTGTATGGACATACCACAGTTTTTATACATTCATCTGTCCATGGACGCTGGCTCGTTCCAACCTTTTGGGTGTTGTGAATGATGCTGTGAGACCTTGGGCTCTCAAAGGCAAGCCTCAGTTTCCTCTTCTGTACCACGCACCTGGCCAAGTTACTCTTCCCTACAGTGGAAGCTGCCTCAGTGGGCTCAGCAGCGACTTCCGGTGCTCACTGCACGCTAGCCTCACCCTCAGCTCCCCAAGCAAGTCATGCCCTCTTGCTAGAAGGCTTTGTAGCTGCCAATCCCTGGCCTTGTGACATCTGCAGGTGTTGTCCCAAGAGTTTCTGGGACCCCACATAACTTTGACCAAAGGACTTGCTAGTAACTACCTCTACCTCTATGTCGGTCTGGGTGGGACTTGGAAAATACCCATGACCCAGTTCAAGTCAAAGTCAGATGCACTTTGCTCAACCCAGTCAGCCCCAGTGTCCTGCTGACGAGCAAGGAGGAATTTTCCAAGATTAGCTTTATCCTTAGAGGCAGCAGTGATTCCTGCGTGTCCTGCCTATTTCAGGTACCTCGGTCTCTGAGCCTGGGGAGAGGGAAAGCGCACTACAACTCCCAGAGGACCTCGGGCTCAGGGGGCGGCCCCGGCCCCCGCGCGGAAGAATTGGACCGACCAACCGGAGCCCAGAGCGGGGCGGGGGCGGTGCCCGGGCGGGGCGGGGCGGGGCTGTGGGGAGGAGGCAGGCTTGCTGCGCCGCGGGCCAGTTGCGCCGAGAGCGCGGGGTTGGAGAGCCGTGCATGCCGAGGGCCTCCGGCGGGCGCCGAGGGACCTCTCCGGGCCATGGGTAAGCGGCTCCTTGGCCTGTCCCGGGACGGTCCTGGCGGCCTCGCGGGGAGGGCGAGGTTGCCCTGCCAGGTGCCCTGCGGGCCCTCGGGGCCCCCGGGGCCGCCAGGAGGGGCGGAGCGGGGCGCGGGGTGGACTACCGGGCGAAGGCGCGGGCAACCTAGCCCGGCTGGGGCGCCAGCGCCCTCGCCCTGCGCTGGAGGGGTGAGGCTGGGTGTCGGCGCTCACTCTTCGAAAATAGGAGAGACAAAAAGTTCTGGCGGCCAGGGGCTTCCCGGACGTTTATCTCGAAACTCTTTTCGTCGTCTCTTGGCTGAAATTTACCAAGTCCTGTACGGTTCTGTCATCCCACTTCCTGCTGTGGTTTCAATCTCGAGCTGGTCTCAGCTAATTTGTTGTGACAGGCTGTCCGCAGCAGTTTCTCTGCCTCCCAGCCCCCATGTGACCCCCCCGCCTCGCCCCGTCACATCCCCGCGGTTCTCAGAACCCGCCGGCGCCGCCGAGAAGAGGCACCGGGGTCTCTGGGCGCGCGGGGCGCTTTCCACTGCGGCCGCCGTTTCCTGAAAGTGACTCTGCGCGGGTTTTGAAGAACTTGCTCAATGCACTTTGAAGAATCAACTGTTCCTCTTTCAGCAGAGGATCCTTCGGCGGTTACCGGCTTCCCGCCCCTTACCCTTTCTCTTTCTCTTTTCTCTTCCCTTTTTCTCTTTTCTTCTCTGTTCTTATTCTTGCCTCCTGTCTACCTTCCTCTGCCCCCCGCCAGGAAAGAGGTGTCTTCCCTCTTTGCTGTCGTCTTCTTTCTTGTGTCTTCTCTTTCCTCGGGTCTCCTGAAGGGACAAGGCGGCGGCCCCGGGAGTGATGGGGGGGTGGGGAGGGGAGAGGGAGCTAGAGAGTTGAAGCGCAGGCTGCGCGCGTGCAAGGAGAGAGATGTTTGCCTTCGCATTCAGCCGGAGCCGGGGAGTTGGTGCGTCTCGGTCTCTTCGCCTTTCAGCCCCGCCGAAGCGGGTTGGGGGTGGCGGGGCTCTCTAAGCGCGAGACTTTGAGGGTTCGGGGTGCAGGTCTGAGGCCTCTGCGCTGGCCGGGTCCATCGTCCCTTTGTTTTCGGGGCGGTCAGCCGTCAGGGAAGGGTCCGCGGGGCCAAGGGGAGGATAACAGGTGCTTCTCGCCCCCCTCCTGAACACCACTATTGAGGGCATCATTGTCTCTGCGCCTAGTTGCCCCCTGGGGCAAAGGAGGGGTGGGAGATCGTGTCTAGAGAGTCTAGCGCCCAGATCGGAGTTCCAGACTCCACCGGAGCCCCGGGGACCCATCTGGGGCGTGTAGAATTGGAGTGGCAGAGGTAGAAAGGACCTCAGAGGATCAGCACACACACACCCCACTTTCTTTGATTTACAGATGGAGAAACTGAGGCTTAGAGTGAGGTCTGGCAGTGAGAGAGAGGCAGACTTCCCAAGACCTCTCCCCTCCCCCTTGTCCTCCTGTTACCTGGTGGTTAACTGGCCAGGGACTGCCCACCGTCCCTCTTAGCCCCTGGGGTCTCTACCAGGAGGGTGGAAACGCTGAAAGGCTATGGAGTGCCCCCAGGCAGGAGTTAGGGGCCTTTCTCAAGGTCCTGGCTGTGTCTCTACTCTTGGGCCATGTCTTGAAACAAGCCACTGAGCCTGGTTTCTCCATAGGTGGAATGGGAACATGGACTTTAGTTCAGGGGGACATAGGAAACAGACCATAGATGGAGCTGTTACTGTTATCAGATACCACCCGGACTTGGAGGGGAGGGACCATGAGGATTCTACCTGTCCTGGCATAGGGTCTTTTAGGACATACCAGAGCTGGCTAACGGGGGACAGGAGGCCTAGTGGGGTTAGGGGATGGTAGTCTCACATTTGGAGCCCCCCCCATGTCACCTACCTTTCTACATTTTTCTCAAGACTGTCATCTTGGCCCTGGCTGCTCTCAAACCCCGTTTTCCTGTGCCCCAGCTGAAACACTGAGGCAGGGCTGGGGCCGAAGCAGCACCCTTCGGGGGTCCCTTGTCTGGGCTCATCTGTCCTCAGTGCTGGCCGGCGGACAGCCCTTGGCAGGTCCTCCCTCCCCAAACTGCCCACTGGAGAAAGCTCCACACCGAGACTTTGCCAGGCAGCCGGCTCCTGGGCCACAGAGTGGACTGGCCGCCTCAAAGGCTGTCTTTGTTTCAGCTCCAGCTCAAACTAAGAGAAACTTAAGCCAACAACCTCGGGCGAGGTGGGGCGGTTTCTGCTGGTTGTTATTGGGCTGCTGTTACCATTATTGACGTAATTGACGTAATTGACGCAGTGCTCCCAGTGGGTGACTTTTCATGAAAGGAAGTGTTGCTTCCTTCCCATCACACCAAGGGTGAATGGGGCGGGGCAGGGCAAGAGAGAGAGAGAGAGGGAGAGAGAGAAAGAGAAGAGAAATATAAGCTAAGCGGTGCCATCTGGCACTAGGTCTCTGACAGGCTCTATGGCTTTGAACTAGTCACAGCCCAAGCCCCTCTCTGGGCTTATACTGCATAATATACAGTGAGATACAGTGTGGGGAGTGAGCGGGACAGGCGGACTTCGGATCTCACCGAAGGGACTCTGTACACACTCACACGCTTGGCTGTGGTTTGTGTGGGAAGCCTTGTTTCTTTCTTTGTCCTGCTTAGAACACTGGGCCCGTGGGCGTCTGGCACCCCCTCCCCCATGGAAGGGACACTGCAGTACAGAGGCAGTGGCTGACTTGGTAAAAGATGCACCTCTGTGGGGCCGGAGCCCCTTCTGACTCTTACCTGATCTCAGCCTGTCAGCAGGAGCAGACCTTTTAGCAGATTAATAGGACTGGTGTGATGGGGGATTGCAGACCCCACTCAGGGAAAGAAGCGAGCCCTTGGAGCAGATACGGAGCTGGGGGTCTCCCTGCTCCCATTAAAAAGTCTAGATCTCAGGGCTCAGAGTTTTGGGACAGTCAGACTGCTCTGGTTCTGCATCCCAGCTTTGCCACTAGTAAGCTGTGTGATTTCAAGCAAGTTACTGAACCTCTCGGATCCTCATGTATTGTATCTGTAAAAGGGGGGAGATCATACCCACTGGGTGGCTGGGAAGATTCAGCGAAGCAGTGTACAACAATGCCTCATCCACGGCCCAGCACAGCACGGAGCTGAGTTGGGGGAGTGTATAATTCGGAAAGGGAAGTAAGGGAGCGCTTGAGAACAAGTAGACTTCAGGGAGCATCCTCTTTTGGAATTAGTGACTGAAACTAATCTCTTCACTGCTGTGGGTTCAGGTTCTGGGCTTTAAGCTTGGACTTTAACACAAGCCATGGAGTTAAACAAAGCAGATTCCTAATACCAGATGGGTTTTGGGCAGCACCGCCCCCCTCAGCACCCTGGCACCCCTGTTCACTGCCCAGTGAGGCACTGAGTCACAAGGGCCCAGGAACTCATCTCCTGGCCCAGCCGGCAGCCTCCCGGCAGCGAGAGGAGAAAACAACAGAGGCCATGGAGTGAAGTCCTACTGTAGATTCCCAAAACTTTTCTCACACTGTTATCTTGCTGCACCAAACACGAGGCGTAAGCGCAACAGAAAACACACAGGGCCTTTAAGAAGGAACGTCCAAGGACAGCAAAGAGAGACCTGAATCTGGGGAGACGTGTGGTCCTGAAAAAGGAAGGTGCCGTATCAGAACGCTGTTCTCTTTCTTCAGAGTAATTTCTAGGTTTAAATGCAATTCAACCAAACCCCAGCGGGGGAGGGTGTGTGTGTGTGTGTGTGTGTGTGTGTGTGTGTGTGTGTGTTTAAGGGAATGTGACAAAATTATCCTGAAGTTCAGATAAAATTATTTAAAAAGAGTAATGTTGGGGGACTTGCCCTCTGGATAGTAAGCTGTTTTACAATTAAAAGAGTGTGCATGAGTACTGGCATTCCGCAGTGAATGAAACAGAGGAGAAACGTCCAGAAACAGCTTCAAGTGTGTTCCTTTTGTTGTTGTTTATTTGAGAAAGAGAGAGAGAGAGAGAGAGCGCACCAGGGGAGGGGCAGAGAGCGAGGGAGAGAGAATCCCAAGCAGGCTTGGTGCTGTCAGCGCAGAGCCCAATGCGGTGCTGGATCTCATGAACCATTAGATCATAACTTCATCTGAAATCAAGAGTCGACTGCTTAACTGACTGAGGCACCCAGGTGCCCCTTCTGTAAATCCCTTATAAGTCTTTAGATTATGGGGAGAGTAGCATTTCAAATCACTGGGGGCAGGGCATCTCTCAGTCAATATTGGGACACCTAACCACTGGGGTGAAATGTGATTAGATCCCCTTCTCCTACCTTATAGATTCCAGCTGTGTTCACAGTAAACAATGAAATAAGCGTCATCATTGTTGTCATTATTGCTTCCTGGATGGAAAATGCCGTGTCTGAATGACATTCCTTTCACCAGCGGAGGTTTTCTTTCTGCAAGTTGGATCCACCAACCCGTTACAATGGGGCATCCAAGGCTTTGTGACAATAGCAGGACAGTAACTCAGTGGCTCCTGGGCAGCAGCGGTCACTCGGGAGCAGGTGGCATTCTCGTGCCTCTGCAGGCCGGACGTGGTTGGGAGACTGGGATGGCCGGTCCCTGGGCCCCTTTCCTCCTGCTCAGAGCCGGGAGAGCAGCCCAGCCCAGCCCTCCCTCAGGCAGCCCTGGAAAGTATGGGAGCTGGGAGCCTGGCAGGCAGGGGGACGCGCCTGTCACCCGTGGCAGGGGGTTCAAAGTTAGCTTTCCTGAGTCTTCCAAATGAAGATGATCTGCCACCCTGATCCACAAATGCCTGGGGAAGGGAGGCTTTGGGGTAGCCAGGGACAGGACAGAAGGTGCCCTGGAGAAGGAGGGAGAGGCTGTGGAAGTGGGGCCCAGAAGGCCCTGCCAGGGGCCAGCGTGCAGAGAGCACACTAGCCTGGCTGGGAAAGAGTGGAGGCTGAGTTCATTTGGGGACTCAGCTGGACGCAGAGATAAAGAGTGTGTTTCCCTTTGTGGCTCTAGGCAGGAGCTCTCATCCTTCTCCTGCCTGGGGTTAAACGGCTCAGATTGGTGACCTCCTTTCCAGGTAACCCGAGTGCCCGGCTCCAGCAGTTTCCCCCTCAGTGTGGCCCAGGCAGAGCTCACCAAGTCTGGAACCAAGCAGAAGGGATAGAGGTCCTCTGGCCCAGTGGCTCAAAAATTGGCTGCCCCCTTTGAAATCCCCTGGGGAGCTTTACACTGATGCCCCTTACAGAACCTTAAATCAGACTGAAGCTGGGGGTGGGGTCATAGTCACCAGTGGGGACATAGTCACCAATGTCTTTAAAACGCTCTCTGGTGATTCTTATGGGTCCCAATCATACCACTTTATTTTTCTGCGGCAGGGGGCAGCCATTCACGCGGGGCGCATACCAAGGTTGCAGGGAGGCTCCGGTGAGAAGCCCCAGTGACAGCACTTGTAGGAACTCAGGGTGGAGAGAGTCCTCTGATGCCGAGAGGCCAAACCAGCAGGAAAGAAGGCAGAGAGGGCGTGAAGACAGGTGGAGAGAGCAGGAGGGCAGGCAGAAGAGCTGGGGGAAGTGGCTGAGCCAGTGACCTGGCCCACTTCAGGGATTCAGGGAGAGTGGGCCAAGGACGCCAGGGTTTCTCCCCCATTTCACAGAAGGGAAGACTGAGGCACAGAGTCACCAAGAACCTGGTTGGAAAGGCATGCGTTGGGGAGGTGGGGGTGGGTCGGTTGTTAGCACCTGGTTGTTTCTGGATATTGACCATGCCTTGAAGCCAGCCTGGGAGGAAGGCCTGAGTGCCTTTCTCTTTGACAAGCCTTAAGATCGGTGTCTCTTCCAGGCTTTTTTGGACTCCTCATCAAGGCTTTGCAAATGCTGGTGATGACAATAGCAACTATGATGGTGGCAAGGCCAGGCCGCTTGGACTGGTGGTCAGACAGCTCTTGTTTTGAACCCTGGTCTCCCAAGGAGACCAGCAACGTAGCTTCTCTGGCTCCAGTTTCCCCTCTTTAAAACGAGATCCCTCCTGGGGACGCCTGGGTGGCTCAGTCGGTTAAGCGTCCGACTTCTGCTCAGGTCATGATCTCGCGGTTCATGAGTTCGAGCCCCGCGTCGGGCTCTGTGCTGACAGCTCAGAGCCTGGAGCCTGCTTCAGATTTTGTGTCTCCCTCTCTCTGCCCCTTACATGCTCGCTCTCGCTCGCTCTCTCTCTCTGTCTCTGTCTCTCTCAAAAATAAATAAAAACATTAAAAAGAAATTAAATGAGATCCCTTCTGGGAGCACCTTGGTGGCTAAGTCGGTTAAGTGTCCAACTCTTGATTTGGGCTCAGGTCATGATCTCACAGTGGTGAGATCGAGCCCCACCGCGGGATTCTCTCTCTCCTTCTCCCTCTCTGCGCCTTCCCCTCTTACATGTGTGCACACACACCCTCTGTCTTTCAAAATAAACATTTTTTTGAAAAATGCGCTCCCTTCTGGGACTAAATAAGAGAACACACATGGAAGAGCAGGGACCCGCGCGGCATGAGTGAGTAGTTGCCGGTGAAGCTTCCACGAGAGGCTACCTAAGGGGACACTGTCCTATGGCCAATGGTCTGGCCTCGAGGACCACGCTGGTACGGGTTTATTGTTGTTCTGGGGATTGTTTCTCCAGGACAGAAAGGGAATCTCACAGGTGCCCAGCGGTAAGGCTTTCCTGAGCTGGAGCAAACCAGGAGAATGGGACGGCTCATACCAGGTTAACAAAAAGGAAAAGAAGGTTAGAAACAAAGGGGAATCCGGAGTTCCCGGCTCCTGGCCTGAGGTGCGCGCTGCCAGCCTGTCAGAGGCCGGAAGCGGTTTCCAGTGTTTTTTGCAGGGACACGGGTGTTGCGTTCTCGCAACTTTCAGCTCACGCCTGCCCTTAGTAAAAGGGTTCCTCCTGCCCTCCATGCACGTTGTTGTGAGACTCCCCGCTGAAACCTGGCGCCTCCCGTGTGGGGTGCTGGGGGGGCCTCACTGAACTGTCAGGAAGCCACACACGCAGTGAGCAGTTCAGTCTGGATGGCTGTCAGTGGCCAAGGGTCCCCAGCGGAGCAAGGTGGCTGTGCTAGGCTGGGGGCTGAGGAGGGCCACCCACAGGAGTGGCTTGTCAGGGGAGAACTGAAGGGTCACCGGACCCTTGCAGGTGACAGGAGCAAGTGGCAGAATCAGGGGGCGGTTAGGCTTCTGCCGGTGCTCATAGAAAGGTCAGATGTTTCATAACAGGAGCTTCTAGTCTTCTCGATTATTCCTGGAGGATCCAAGCACCCAGGGTGGTGTTTGGGGCTCACCAACGTGGGAACCTCTGCAGCTTTCCCATTTGGGCGGAGGTGCCGTGAAAACGCTCTGCCTGAATGTGGGGCAGGTTCTGGAGACAGGATTTCCCTGAGCGACACGGCCCCACCTTACTCTCCTCTGACTTCACCCCAGGGTAGTCTTAAGTTTCCCTTCAAAAGATGTGGGGAGCTGGCTGGAACAGAGGAAGGAACAGCAGCAGGGGTGGGGCTCAGCTGGAGGTGAGCCTGGCAGAGAGGAGGGAGAGCACATAGATAGGTGTGTGTAGAGGGCCGGCCTGTGTGCAGCCAGGGACCAGGGGCAGAGGACACACTGCCTAAGGAAGGGGAGGACTTGCTCCCACCTGGCGGGTTCAGATGGGGGGCGGGAGGGCCTGCATCTCTCCCAGACGACCTCTCCTCGTTGCCTGTTCTTCTTGCCTGAATCTCAAGCGCTCTCCCCCCCCCGCCCCCCCATCCCTTCCCCTTGCTCCTCTCTTTGCAGCACCTCCTGTCAAAGGGAAAAGGAAACAGTCAGAGGAGGGTGATCCCTTAGACCCATCCGTGTCCCCTCAACCCGATGGTGAGCAGAGCAGGAGCCAGAGCCCCATCCATCTGGAGGTGAGTGGGGCGACCCCTGGGGGCCTCTTCCCTGCCCCCCTCTCCCCTGTGCATAGTCCCAGGTGAACTCTGGGACTCCCCAGGCTCTCAGGCAGACGTGTTCCCTACGCTCCAGTCTGCAGAGCCAGGAGAGGGCCCCGGCCCTGTGGTTTCGGGCCTGCATCAGGTGTGGGAGCTGGGAGCCAGGGACAGGAGGACCCGCCCGTCACCTGTGGCAGGGGTTTCGGACTTAGATTTCCTAGCAGAACCCATCTGCCTGGAGCCCTGATGAATGAAATAGATAAAAGCACTGTATTAAGATGTAAAACCACATGTACCTCCATGCATCCCTCCAAGTTTACAGCGTGGGTCTTAAAGTCCCTCCGTGAGATCACTAAGGCCGTTTTGGGGAGTGGGATCTGAGAGGGAGCCACGGGCGACACTGCGGATCGTTGGCCTCGGCATCCGTTCATCTTGGCCACTTGCTTTGGTGGCACAGTCTGGAGTAAACGTCCTGATTCGCAAAGAAGAGTAGTTGCAGACGGTAACAGTTTTTAACAGCTTGTGTGGAAGAGCAGACCCAGCGGAAGAGCTGCCGAGAGAGTGCCTTCCTTCTGAGGCCTGCACAAGACCAGCTGCCTTGGTCCCCAGTGTGTCACAGTTTCATAGGTGACGCGTGAGTTTGTGTGCCGTTCATTATTGGAGGTCTCCATTCAGTGTCAGAAACATTGAAACCATACTAGAATCGAATATTTTGGGAATGCACAGCTCTCTGTACCGTTCTAGGCCCTCATGGTTTACCTTCTTCTGGTGTTTGGGGCCTCCCCATCCAGGACATGGGAGCTGTCTGCTCTCCAAGCCCTGAGCCCCAACTCACTCAGACCCCTCTGCCCTGAGCCACCAGCCAAATGACTAGCATCAGCAGATACTGGCCCTCTGGAAGCAAAAACCACAGGTCTTGCGCATCCGGTAGAAGTGTGTGGGGGCGCCTGGGTGGCTCAGTTGGTTAAGAAGTGTGTCAGGAACCCAGGATCGGGCTTCACCACCCTGAATCCAGCAAGCAGACTGGCAGCTCAGAGAGGCAGGCCACCATGGCAACAGCTCGGTGGACACCGCACCCCACGCTGCCAGAAAACACCGAGCACCTTTGTTCCTTCGGCCTGGGGACTCTGAGCCTGCCACCAGGAACTCGCAGTCTGGCAGAGGAGCTGAGACACAGAGAGAACAAATCCAGAGCAAGAGAGAGAAGTGATCTCTGCTGGAGAGAGGCCTGGGAAGCTGTAGGGCTTCTCCTAAGGCTGTCTCTGGAGCCAGGCCTCCGTGGACCCTGACCTGGGGTCCTGGGCACTGACAGCTGATGACTGCTTCTTTCTGATGCCAGAGACAATCACTCCAGCCCAGAGCTGTAAGCTGGGTGCTGGGGGCCTGCTCCCTCCTATGGGAGCCTGAGGTTGGGGCCCACATGCCTCCTTCCTCCCCAGCAGCCAGTGGGCTCCACCTGTCCCCAGCCGCCCACCAACTGGGGGCTCATCCCAATGCCTCCTGTTCTTTCCCCAGGACTCCCCCGAGGCAGGCGGGGAGCGGGAGGAGGACCAGGAGCGGGAGGAGGAGCAGGCCTTCCTGGTCAGCCTCTACAAGTTCATGAAGGAGCGACACACGCCCATCGAGAGGGTGCCCCATCTCGGCTTCAAGCAGAGTGCGTCCCCGGGGTGCAGGCAGGGAGGGGGAGCCTGGCAGGGGATCCCATCCAGGTAGGGTGTCAGGGCAGGCACCTCCACTCTGGACACCTGGGTGATGCCAGCCCACAAAAAGGGCACCCCCCCTCCAGGCACAGGGCTGCAGTGGGTGGGGCCGGATTTCTAGCCTCATTGGCCACTGGACTACCAGTGCACAGGGCCTGGCACCCACCCATTGCAGCGGCCCTGTCTGGGTGCGTGCTGGTTCTGTGCCTGCCCGACAGGTCCACGGGGAGCGGGCTGCTGGTTGTCCCCTCCCCCTTTGGAGACTGATAGGGGCCCTGCCTTCTCTTTTCTCCAGTTAACCTGTGGAAGATCTACAAAGCAGTGGAGAAGCTGGGGGCCTACGAGATGGTAAGGAAGGTCCTCTGAGCCCTTGCCTTGCTGCATCTCCCGGGCCATCCCTACCACACCCTGTGGGAACCTGGGGAGGAAGGGCCCTGTCTGGAGACAGACCTGTCCCCGCCTCCAGATAGGAGGAAGAGGCAGGGTCCCAAATCCCACCCCTTCCCCAGTACTCTGCATGCTGTGAGCTGTGGGGAAGAGGGCCTGCCTTACCCGCTGCTACTTTGCTGCTCAAAGCAAGTTTTCCCGTCTTCCCATCTGTTCTGTCTTCCCCGTGCTCCCTTTGCCTGGAAAGCTGCTTGGGCCAGCAGCCGGGCAGCGGCCCCTCGGAGAGAGGACTGGCTAGCTGCCCAGCGCGCCCCGTCCCGCCTCCCCGCCGCCGCCACCACTGGAGAAGCAGCTGCAAAACTGCAGTCCTTGTCTCTGTCTGTGTCCACTGGGGACCTGGAGCTGCCAGGACCCCACTGCGCCGGTCGTGCCCTCATGGTGTGCCTTTGCAGGTGACTGGCCGCCGCCTCTGGAAGAACGTGTACGACGAGCTGGGGGGCAGCCCGGGCAGCACCAGCGCGGCCACGTGCACACGCCGCCACTACGAGAGGTACGGTCGCGCGAGACCCTGACCATGGGACACCTCAGCCCTCACCTGGGGGCAGGGCAGGGCCAGAGCAGTACCCGGGGGCCGGGTGCGGGGTGCAAGGCGGGACAGGTGCGGGCACGAGGCAGGACACCAGCCACCTGAGCAGCGTGTGCTGCGTTCATCACCTCCCAGGGCTGGGCTGGGGTGGCCATACCGCATGCCTCCTGGACCACATGAGGAGAGGTGGGAGGTGTGGCGCGTGCCTGCCAGGCTGGCCTCCTGGTGGACACGCTGTGCTCCTGTTCAGGCTGGTGCTCCCATATGTGCGGCACCTGAAGGGGGAGGACGACAAGCCGCTGCCCCCTTCCAAACCCAGGAAGCAATACAAGATGGCCAAGGAGCCCCGCGGGGATGACGGGGCCACCGAGAAGCCGAAGAAGGCCAAGGAGGAGAAGCGGTTAGACCAGGTAAGCTCCGAGCCCACCTGGGGCCGCCACGTCCCCAGGCCTCCACGTCCCCTGGTCCCCTGCCAAACACCTCCCTCTCCCTGCCCACGTCATGGCCACAGAGTGCCTTGCCCAGAATAGCCAGAACCCACTCTGATGGCAGATCCGTGGGGGGCTCCAGGGTCATGGCTGTGCAGGTTCAAATGAGGGGCCCTTTGGGGTCTGAACTCCAGCCTGAGCCTCTTTCACCAGGCCCTGGGCCCTGTGCCCATTCAAAGGACAGGAGACAGTTTGAAAATTTTTCACAAAAGCGCTGGAAGAATGAACAGAGGCTCTTGGGTACCCCTCTGTGACTCTCTGCCACAGGGCCCCTAGGTCAGGATATGGGGCTCACACCCAGCCCTGAGGCATGAACTCTTCTCATTCCAGATGATGCCGGGAAAGACCAAACCAGATGCTGCCACTGACCTGGCGCGGCTTCCCGGCCAGGAGCCCCCCAGGGATGGCACAGAACAGCCAAGCCCAGCCCTGGGGCCCTCTCTGCCCTTCGTGGGTGCCAGCGGCTGCCCAGAGGCCTACAAGCGGCTCCTGTCCAGCTTCTATTGCAAAGGAACACATGGCATCATGTCCCCACTGGCCAAAAAGAAGCTCCTGGCCCAGGTGAGCAAGGCTGAGGCCTTGCAGTGCCAGGAGGAGGGCTGTCGCCATGGGGCAGGCAGCCCTAATGGGGACCCCCAGGCATCCCCAGCTGTTCTCTCGGAAAGTCCTCAGAGCCCAGGAAAGCCAGCTGAGAACTCCCGGCACCGGCTGACCCCTCAGGAAGGATTACAGGCACCTGGTGGCAGCCTCAGGGAGGAGGCTCCGGCGGGTACTCGCCTGCCAGCCCCCATCTTCACTGGCTGTTTCCATGCGTACCCCACCGAGGTGCTGAAGCCCATCAGCCAGCACCCCCGGGACTTCCTCCCCAGTCTTAAAGATGGGGCGCTATTGGGGCCCCCTGGCAAGGAGGAGGGCCTGCTGGTCAAAGAGCCCCAGCTGGTGTGGGGCGGGGATGCCAACCGCCCATCTGCATTCCATAAAGGCAGCTCGAGAAAGAGCAGCCCCTACCCCAAGCCCAAAGCCTGCTGGGTGTCCCCCATGGCCAAGGTCTCTGCTGAGAGCCCTGCACCCCTACCTACCTTCCCTAGCATCCCAGGCCTGGGCAACAAGCGCAGCCTGGAAGAAGAGGGCTTTGCCCACGGTGGCAAAAAACTGCGGGCAGTGTCTCCTTTTCTTAAGGAGGTGGACGCCAAGGAGTGTGGGGCCAAATCCATGGGGTCCGGCCTGGCTGTGTCCTGCCTGCTGGGCCCTGCGCTGGGGCCTGCCCTCCCTGAGGCCTACAGGGGCACCATGCTGCGTTGCCCGCTGAACTTTGCCGGCACCCCGGACCACTTAAAGGGCCAGGCCACGCTCCCCTTCAGCCCCCTGGTCATCCCTACCTTCCCGACCCACTTCCTAGCCACGACGGCACCCTCACCCATGGCCACCGGTCTGATGCATTTCCCCCCGGCATCCTTCGACAGTGCCCTTCGCCACAGACTTTGCCCAGCCTCATCCGCATGGCACGTGCCACCAGCCGCAACCTATGCAGCGCCCCACTTCTTCCACCTCAACACCAAGCTTTAGGTCAGAGCCCACGGGGCTGTGCTTGTGCTATGCAGGGTCTGAAGTGGCCTGAGTCGGGGAGGCACTGCCAGGGGTCTGGGCTGGAGCCTCTTCCCCAGCAGAGCTTGGCTGTGCCCAAAGCAGGAATGTGCCCCCTGTCTAGGCAGCCTGGCACAAAGAGGGAGGCGGTGGGAAAACTGGGTTTGTCTCAAGGAAGCAGCCCACGCCTGGGGCCCCAGTTGTCACAGGGCCATGGGAGAAGGCGGTGCCGGGCTGGCAGCTCCCAGCTAGGTCCCTGGAGCAGAAGCCAGGAGCGTGGTAACGGGCCAGGGAGCTGGGTCGCAGCTTGAGGTATGCAGGCTGCCCATGGAAAATCCAATAAAAGACCAATGTGAATCCACCCAGCCCTGAGGTGTGCATGCATGGTTTGGACCTTCGCAGGGGCAGCTGAGGCTGGGGTGTGCTCGGGGGCGGGGGCATTGGTGGCAGGGCTGGGGCAGCCAAGGAGAGAGACCTACCTTGCATCCACCCAGATCTGAAATGCTCCCCACCCTGCTGAAGAGCAGGACCCAAAGCAAAACTCAAGTTTCCTGTTCACACTAGGCTGCGACATTCGTCTTGTGCTTTCTGTCCGCTTTCACGGTAGAGTCTCAGGGCAACTGCCTGTCAGGTGGGGGGTCTGAGGTTCAGAGAGGGCTGGTGACTTGCCCTGGCCCCCCCCAGGTAGTGACCAAGCAGAGCTAGGCATTTGGATGTGACCCCAGTACCCAGATCTAAACCACAGGAGCCCAAACAGCAAACCGTAGGAAGAGCCCTGGGGGCCTCCGGTGTGAGCAGGGAACCTGAGTTGGTCTGTCCTGGCAGTGGACTTACAGGGCCTGCCTCCCAGCGAGTCCCCACCCCACTGACCCCCGCCTGCTGCCCAGGGGTGGCCCCGGAGGTTCCCGACTTAGGTAGGTGCCTAAAGGGAAAGGGGAGCAAAGGGGCCAGAATCTTGGCCTGGGCATCTGTGTTCATTAGGTAGGGTCATTCTGGGGGCTCACTCAAACCCTGCAGCCTGATGCTCTCCTTGCTAAAGGCTCTGTTTGGGGAGCAGTGGGGGGCCATCTGTCTCAGCAGGAGGGAGGGCGGGAAGGCCCCTTTCAGAGGCTTCCGGCCCTACCCAGGCTGCCTGTCCTCAGAGGCTAGAACAGCAGCCTGCTGACCTGCTGAGCCTCACCGTTCCTGCAAAGGCTGCTGCTCCCCCATGTAGGATGGTAGGGGTGGGGCCAGGCCCCTAACTTCCAGCCTCCAGCCCCAGATTGGTCAACAGTGGCCTTTGACCTGCTAGGCTGGAACTTTCCTGCCTTCTGGGATACTCAGGACCTCAGGCCATGGGAGAGGTAATCCAGTGTGCCTACCCAGTCCCCACCCCATGAGTTGGCTGAGACCCGGATGGGTTCTGTTTGTCCAGTGCCACCACTGAGTATGACAGGGCGCACACAACATATCTGGCACCAGGGGTTGGGCTACCAGGGCTGAAAGGCATCCCATCCAGCCTCCAACTCTGGAAGCTGCCTGTGGAGGGGGAGCTCAGGTGTGCACGGGCCAGAGAGCTGGCCCCCTAGTAGCCAGAGGGTGGCAGTCACCGCTCTTGGCTCTATGGGTGTCCCCAGTCCCCACCTCCCTCCTGGGTGATGCCAGATACCAGCCAGAGTAGCGGCATGACCTCCAGTCCCAAGCCCCCGGTTCCCACATGCTGCCCATTCCTCCAGGCTTCTGGAATCTCAGTGGTGAACAACGAGAGCTGGGAGGGCTGAATTCTGCTACCCTCCCTGTGAGTGCCCTAGGTGCTGGGCCGCAGGCCACGGGGTCAGAGTCCCTGGGTAAGGGGGCGGCAAGGGCCACCTATTGTGTGCAGGATCCTGCCTGAGATGGGACAGGGTCGCTGGGGTCCCTTTTATCTACAAAGCCACAGTGGCCTTGCTCTGGCGAGGTGGGAGGCGCACCGAGCAGATCTCGGGCACAGACTGTTCAGAGCTGTGAAGGTGGTGCCCTCTGGAGGCTGTTTGGGGAGACTGTGCCTGGTGGAGAGGCTGCGGCCCTTGCTTGGGTGTCAGCAAATACCCAGGGCTTAACGTGGGCATGCTTCCTGGGAAACTCCTGCGCCCTGCATTTCCGGTGTGCCGCTTTACATGTTTCTCACTCACCCCTCAGAGTTCCGGGGAAGGTACCGTCCTGATTTACAAATGAAAAAACAGCTCTGAGCCATCTAGTAGGTCCCAGAGGTGGCTGACGTGCAAGCCTGACTCACCGGAAGGACATCCTGCACGTGCCTCCTGGGCACTGCCGCCCTAACTGCGCAGGCGTGCTGCGTGTCGTCCTGTTTCATACTCTCTATTCTTTTGCATTCCTGCTGTGTCCTGACCGTCCTTGCCTCTGCCCTGGGGACACACAGGTCAGCAGGACGGGCCCAAACCTTTCTTTGGGGCATAAACCATGTTTTAGAGCCCCTTTCAAACTGTCTGTGGCATTCAAGCTGCTGAGCGTGGCGGTGAGTGGAGGCGACTCTGCAAGGGACATCTCTTCCTCTGGTGGCAGTTGAAGCAAAAGGCCATGTGTCAGGCATTCAACAGACACGGAACATCTATTCCTAGAGGGCGCCAGGCGCTTTTTAGGTGTTGGGACGGACATGTCAGTGGACAAAACACTCAACCCCCTGCCCTCATGGAGATGACATTCTACAGGTGACGGGGCAGAAAATAAATGAATCAAATACAGAGCGTGTCAGGAGGAGTTAAGCCCCAGGGAGAAAAATAGGGCTGGGGGTGGAGTGTGCAGTGTCTTTTTGCGGTAAAATATAACTCAGCATAACATTTACCTTATTTTGCCCATTTTGAAGTGTACATTTGAGTACACAAGTGTACAGGGTTGGGCTGCCATCACCACCATCCATGTCTAGGTTACACAGAGTGGCCAGGAGCTCTCAGTAGAAGGTGGTATCCAAGCAGTGGCTGGAGGAGGTGGTGGAGGGAGTCATGTGGCTCCTGAGGGGAGAGCAGAGGGAAGGGGGTGGGGGGACAAGGGTTGAAGCCTACGGAGTTGGAGCAGCCTGAGCGGGGTAGGGTGGGGGGGTTCATGGTCTCCGGCTCTCACAAGAGGCTTGTGGTTTCTGGGTGGGACTACATGCCGGGGGGTAGGGGTGGCAGGGAGCCCATCTACAGAGACACAGGCTGCACGCTTGGGCGCAGGTCTGGAGGGAGTGGGGGCCGTGCACAGCTCCAGTGAGTGCTCCTGTTCTCCCACGGAGCATGCCGGAGGAGGAGCAGGCTGGAGGTCTGAGGAGGGAGAAGGGCAACTAGAGATCTCCAAGAGAGGGGCAAAGCTACACAGAGCTGGTGCTGGGGCTTCTGGAAAGCCTGAGTTCCCACCCCGGAGACAAGCGGCAGGAGTTTCCGTGGGACGAGCAGCCGTGAGGTGGTCTCCCTGCTGGCTGGCTGCAGAGCTGGGACTTGGAGAGGGGACGCCAAGTCCCACATGAGTGGGAGCTGCACCGGACAGCTGGCTGAGCAAGGGTGACTGTGATGGGGGTGGGGGGCACAGAGCAGAGGCTGGGGGGATGCAGTGAAGGACCCCTGGATGGTGGCATCAATGGATGGTAGGTCCTGGTGGCTTCAGAGGAAGGATGAGGGGATGAATTGGTGGGAAGACGTGCTGAGGGAGGGCTGAGGGTGGGTGAGGAGGCCTGTGTGCAGGAAGCTTTGAAATCAGCACAGTAGCACAGCAATGGTTGGGGGGCAAGGCCTACCTCTGAGTCTTTGAGGATCAAGAATTGAGGACGGGGGGCGGGGGGACGCCTGGGTGGCTCAGTTGGTTGAGCATCCAACTTCAGCTCAGGTCATGATCTCACAGTTCGTGGGTTTAAGCCCTGTGTGGGGCTCTGTGCTGACAGCCAGCTCAGAGCCTGGAGCCTGTTTCAGTCTGTGACTCCCTCTCTCTCTGACCCTCCCCTGCTCACACTGTCTGTCTCTCTCTCTCTCTCTCTCTCTCTCAGAAATAAATAAAACTTAAAAAAAAAAAAAAAAGAATTGAGGATGCGGAGGACAGAGCATAGCAAGGACTCTTGGCATGACCTTCAAAGTGGGGGGTGGCGCATAAGGTCTGGAAGCAGGGCTTCATTCAGCACCCTCAGAGGAGCCTGATGTGTCCCACGCTGGAGGGGCGGCAGAGGTGGGCCCAGGGTTGGCCGGCAGGGGAAACCCCACAGGTAAGAGATTTGCTCTGACGCTCAAGACCACAGCATGTAGATAGTGGCCTGAAGATGTGTTTCGTTTATTTGAACTGAGGTGATTAAAAAAAAAAGTTTTTGCCAGCATTTAAAAAATCCAGTGATTTCCCATAGAAGTTTGGGAAACTTCTTTTTAAAAATCAGAATGTCCGGCCACAAGAGACCACTTCCTGGAGCTCGGCAGTGGCTGCTGCCCCTTGAGCAGGGATTCCTGCCCATTCAGTATAGTCTCCCTGACCCCCCTTGTCCTCAACCCAGAGGGACCCAGCTCCAGCCTGGTCTCCCCTCCATTCAGGCCTAAGTCTTGCTGCTGTGTGACCACTAGGGGGCAGCTTTCATTCTTTGTTGTCCACAAGATCAGTTTCCTAAGCAAGAAAGTCACTGCTGGGAAACTCAGCAGGGCTTCCAGACCAGAGGGCAAGGCAGAGCCTGGTTGTTGCCAAGTCATCTGTGCAGCGTCCCCTGGTGTATGGGGACAGGGGCAGGCAATGGTGGGCTGGACAGGGCCCCGGCATGGGTCCCCATCCTGCCCAACTCCTGACGTATCAAAAGCCTTTGCCCCTCCCTGGGCTACATGGTGCATCTGTGAAAGGAGTACAGTCACTTCCAGGTTCTGCCTGTGACCCAGAATGAAGCAGATAGGGTCTAGTGACTGACAAGGGACAGGTGACCTCCCCCCCCACACACACACACTCCTGGTCCTGGGAGGACCTTCCCAGCTCCTCTGGGCCCCTGGCCACTTCTGGAAAGCCAGTTCTCATCTGCACACAGCAAGTGGCAGCCACTGTGAGGCCCCCACAGGGAGGGGGAGGATCTGCTGGAGGGAGCTGGGAGTAGGGGCTCCAGGCAGGGGTCTTAGAAAACCAGCTGCACCACCAGCAAACGCCCCGCCCCCCAGCCCACCCCCTCCCCACCAGGCTTCCGACTGCCTCCAGGGTCCCTGCTTGGCCTTGTCACCCCTCCCTTGACAGAGCCCCAGTTTGGGGAGGAAAGATCAAAGAGCTGGAAGCCAGAACACAGGCCCTGAGACTGCTCCCCCACAGGTTCAGTGAGGGTTCTTAGGCCCTGTACTTGTAAGCAATATCAAGGAACTCTCACCCAAGCAGGAAGGAGCTTGCGGGGCTCAGAGACCCCAGG